CCAATCTCATGAATCCTGGGGTTTGACTGTCCCACCTGGTGATCCAGACCTGCAAGGGGTCGATGAGACTTTTCAGAGCTTCTTTCTCCAGCTCTTTTTCTATATGTGTCGCCAGATTCTCTTGAGCAATTACCTTCATCAGCTCAGTCGTCATACTTGAGGTGACACCATAGTAAAGCTAAACATCGGAAAGAAAAAGTCAACACCAGAGAAAAATAACTAGCTGACAACAGCTATAATGTAAAGTTCTTGTTTAAAGCCAGAGTGGACTAAAAGAGAGCCGAGAGAATACCTTAGAAAGCAAGACATTTGAAAAATAAAATAATGTGAGGGAATGATAATGTTTTGCACAGATAAATAAGCTTAATTTATATACCTGAGCATGCTCCAGGAATTCATTATATCCTCCCAAAAGCAAACCCTTTCCTCCACGATCCAACAGCTCTCTCCAGATGATGGGGGAATTTTTGTGACTCCATTTATTCTTTTCACACAAATCTGTCAGCCACTCCTATCAAATAATATTACAAGTGAAGTTACACTTAAATCTGTCTCAGAATCCAAGGCTTTAGAATTCAAACTCTAAAATACTAGCTTACTTTATACTACTACTATGTATACATAAAATTTAGACATCTAAACTGGAAAGTGTAAATATAGAGCGATGAGTTAAATAACAAATTAATTAAATAAGAAAGAATATTCTACAAATTCATTGACCAAACGAAGGTACTGAAAGTTGCTCTCTCTGCTGAGGAGACCTGGAGTGCAAGTGTTTAGTTTAAAGAGCAGCATGTCTTCCAATGCAACTGATTTCAAAAAAATTCAACTGATTTTTCCCTTGTTCTTCTATATGAGATATTTCCAGTCTTAGGGCCATATAAATTCGATATTGCTTTCCAAATCTGNATAGAACTGAAATCAAGAAATACTAAAATGCTCCCTGAAAAAACTGCTGCTGAAAATTATACCCTTGGCATTGGTTGTAACTTCATTACTCTGCTTGCCTTAAAATAACTTTTTATCTTCTTTGATTCTGACAAGAAGTTCTTGATTCTAGACTGGAACAGAAATTTGGGCAAATGACTTAACTTCCTGGGTGGGTTCTGTTTCCTGCAGGATGAAGGTGATATAATAAGAGGACCCCAAAGAACATCTTAAGCAACACATAGTTATTGAATTAGCTTCTGTGTGTGAGGCACTTTTAGGTGGCAGGCTTGGAAAAAAGCCAAGCAGCCCAAATCCTTGCAACATTCTGGGGGTGGGGAGGAGTGGGTGAGAAAACACCTACTGTACAAAGTGACAGGTGCTTTGAAGAAAAATGAGAGGATGGCGTTGGAGAGAAATAAGGGTTGGTATTTAATATAATTCTACAATTATAACTTTCCTAGAATATTGTATCCAAAGTGAAAAGTAATTTTATTGATTTATTTCTTAAATTATTTATTTGCTTAAAGACTCAATTTCTTTACAAAGCCACACCATTTCTTATTGGGAAGATTAACTTTTGTTCCTGTTCTCCTGTATGAGGTAAGCTTGCTGTTGGCTTCAAGTAACAGAATATCCTATTGACTTGGCTTAAGTAGAAGGAATTGACTTTTCTCAGGTAACAAAAAGTCAATGTAGGCAGTGACACTGGTGGTTGATCAGCAGCTCAGAGACGTTATTCTCTGGACCTTGCCCTCATGGTCCTAAAGTGGCTGCAGCAGCTCCAAGTTTCACATATTCACATAGCTGTGTTCAAAAGCAGGCAGTAGGGGAAAGGATGGGACAGAGGCTTTTTCTTTTTCTTCTTCAGGAAGTTAAATATCTTTCCCAAAAGACTTCAAGTAGACTACACCCCTTAGCCATTCCCAGCCGCAAGAGGTGCTGAAAAAATGAGTGTCTCTTTGAACCTTTATAGTAAAAGACAGGCTAGGGGGAGAATGAATCTTGAGTAGTCAATCATCAGTGTCTACGATCTCCTCTGAGATTCTCTCTCTCATCAAAATGACCCATGAAGTAGGAATAGCTGGTACTCCCTCAATCACCCAACTCGCAAGAGAGCTAGTGATGTGCACTTGGGCCTTTCTATTAGCTTCATGTGGAAGGAGGGAAGGGAAGGTGATATAGCTTTGTTTGGAGCTCATGGGATCCCACATGGAGAAAATAATTATCCAGCCCCAAATAAACATATGGTAGGTATTTGTCCTAAAGCTTAAAGAAGCCTTTTAATCTCACTGGGTATCATTTTTCTTATCAGCTTTAAGGCCCTTTGTGGCGCGAATG